ACTACAGGTGTACGCCATCACGCCTGGCTTGGTTTGTATTTTTAGTCAAGTTGGGGTTTCACCATGTTAGTCAGGCTGGTCTCGAACTCCAGACCTCAGGCAGTCCGCCCACCTCAGCCTCCCAAAGTGCTGGGATTACAGGCATGAGCCACCACATGCGGCCCTTTTTTTTTTTTTTTTATCTCAGAGTTTTCTCTGTCATCTGGGCTGGGAGTACAGTGGCGCCATCTCAGCTCCCTGCAGCCTTGACTTCTTGGGCTTAATTGATCCTCCTGCCCCAGCCATCTGAGTAGGCAGGACCACAGATATGTGTCACCACACCTAGCTAATTTAAAAATATATATTTTGGGTCTGGCAAGGTGGCTTATGCCTGTAATCCCAGCACTTTGGGAGGCCGAGGTGGGCGGATCACAACGTCAAGAGATCGAGACCATCCTGGCCAACATGGTGAAACGCTGTCTCTACTAAAAATAGAAAAATTAGGCTGGGCGTGGTGTTTCATGCCTGTAATCCCCGCACTTTGGGAGGCCGAGGCAGGTGGATCACCTGAGATCAGGAATTCAAGACCAGCCTGACCAACACGGAGAAACTCTGTCTCTACTAAAAATACAAAAATTAGGTGGGCATGGTGGTACATGCCTGAAATCTCAGCTACTTAGGAGGCTGAGATAGGAGAATTGCTTGAACCTGGGAGGTGGAGGTTGCAGTGAGCTGAGGTTGCACCATTGCACTTCAGCCTGGGCAACAAGAGTGAAATTCTGTCTCAAAAAAAAGCAAAAAAAAAAATCCAAAAATTAGCTGGGCTTGGTGGCATGCACCTGTGTCCCAGCTACTCAAGAGACTGAGGCAGGAGAATCGCTTGAACCTGGAGGCAGAGGTTGCAGTGAGCCGAAGTCATGCCGCTGCATTCCAGCCTGGCGATGGAGCGAGACTCCATCTCAAAAAATATATGTATATATATTTTGGACTGGGTGCAGTGTCTCACACCTGTAATCCCAGCACTTTGGGAGGCTGAGGTGGGTAGATCACCTGAGGTCAGGAGTTCGAGACCATCCTGGCCAAGATGGTGAAAATTAGCTAAAATTAGCTCTACCAAAAATACAAAAATTAGCTGGGTGTGGTGACGGGCACCTGTAATCCTAGTTCTATCAGGAGGCTGAGGCATGAGAATCACTTGAACCCAGGAGGCAGAGGTTGCAGCGAGCCAAGATCACGCCACTGAACTCCAGTCTGGGCGACAAGAGCAAAACTCCATCTCAAAAAGAAAAAAAAAAAAGAAAAAACATATATATATTTTGTAAAAAACGAGGCAGCTGATGAAACCTTCCATGTGCTGGGTGCGAGGCTGAGAGGTGGGAGCTGGCCCTGAGCACCCCAGGCCTCTCCAGAGAGGTTGCGCCTCTGAGCCCAAACCCAGCACACCCTCATTAGCTCTAGCATGGAAATGTCTTACTCCCTGACTGGGGCGTCTAACAGGTTGAATAGTCAGGTCCACACTTGAGCCAGTTTGTCATTTATCTCCGGGTCTAGCAGAGGTGTCCCACAAGCTCTATCCAGGAGCAGAGCTGAAGGCAGAACAGGGCAGGCACAGAGCAGGGCCTGGAGATGGCCTCACCCTTCACCTGCTGGCCATTTCCTGGGTAGAAATGGACCCTGGCCTGCCTGAGCTTGTCGTTCATCCCTGCAAGCAGGAAGTCTGCTTGGAGAAGAGACTGGGGCTGGAAGGATCTGGGGGCTGCAGGGTGAGCCCAGGAGCCAGACCCCAGCTAGCCCAGGCCTCCCTTAAGACCCCAGTGGGTCCCAGCCGTCAGTCAGGATTAGAGCAAAGCCCTGCTGGTGTTCAGTAAATATTCATGATGGCCTCTGTCCTCCCTGGGGTGCAGGGCAGGGGGCTTGACCCTGCAGAGCCAAGAGGTAGCACGGCCACCCCTAGAGCTCAGGGGGGTGGCTGGGCGGCCCCCACAGGGCACTGCCTGTCCCTGGCAGCTGTGTGCACCACCCACAGGGCAGCACACAGAATGGTGGCCCAGGTGGCTGGGAGCCCCCATGGAGCTGGGACCCAGCCATGGGCACTGTCAGAGCCGCCCTCCCACTTGGGGTCCAGCCTGCTGCCCAGGGTCCAAACAACCTTCTAAAAGACTGTGTAGCCAGGGTCCCCCAGCCACCACCATCTAGGCCCTCAGGCCTCCTGAGGTCACTGCCAGGCCTGTACCTTTCAGAAACCCCCGGTATGGGGGCAGAGGTGTCAGTCCAGGCAACCTCACTCCTGAGAAAACAGCCGCCCGTGTCCCCTGACTGCAGAGTGAGCAGGGGCAGCACCAGCCGCCTGGAGCTGCGAAGGTAGGTTTCCGGGGCGGGGCTGGCCCGCTGAGCACTGCCTCTCCCCACTGAGCACTGCCTCTCCCCACTGAGCACTGCCTCTCCCCACAGGCTATAGCATGCTGGCCCTGGGCATCGGGACCCTGCTCTACGGGTACTGGAAAATAGTTACGTGGAACCGCGAACGCAGGTAGGACCCCGGATGGGCGTTGTCTGAAAGTCCTCCAGGCCAGCTGTCGGGGTACAGTAGCATTCCACTGCTGCCCATGCTGGCAATGCGGGCACCGGCTCCTTGGACTTGGCTGTGCAATCCCAGGCCCCAGAAAGTGCAGGTCCATGCCCAGCACTTCATTTCTAGGCTGTCCTCGAGATGTCTCCACACCTGTAATCCCAGCAATTTGGGAGGCCAAGGTGGGAGCATTGCTTGAGGTCAGGAGTGTAAGACCAGCCCGGGCAACAGAAAAAAAAAAAGTTGCGTGTAGTGAGCAGGGCTGGGACCCACGAATCCAGGTTAGGACAGGATGTGAGTGGGGGCCTGCCTCGGGGCCTCTACGCAGGATTTTGTCAGAGGTGACCAGGCTTAAATCATAGTGGCCACACAGGGTCAGAGGAACTAGGGCCAGGCACCCCCCTCTCCCTGTGTCATAGGCTGGGCACTGCTTCCCTCCCACCCTCTGCCAGGCAGGGCTGGGAGATGGGGGTCATTGCAGGGAACTTGGAAACCGCCAGAAAGCAGGGGGAAGAAAGGAAGGCTGTGCGGCCCCGCCTGCCCCAGCCTCACACCCTGTGATTATTTTGAGATGAAGGGGACGTGGTTTTGTGAGGCCCAGAGCCCCGTGATGAAGCCTCCCCCCATCGAGATCATCAGGCAGTTATTTTTAGGATGAAGTTTTTAATTGAAAAGAAAAGATGAAGCCGACAGTCTTGTGGGCAGTCACCCATGCAGCTGCCCGCACCCACCCTCCTTCAGGCTCCTGGTGGGCTCTGCCCATGGCCCTTGCCCTGCCCTCTGCCTCCTGCCCACCCCCCCTCGCCTCTTCTCCCAACTCCCCCCTCCCTGCCTCTTCCCCCAGCAGCACCCTGGCTGGCTGAGGTCCACGCTGCCTGTGCTCCCACCACCCAGCCTAGTCTGAGCTGAGTGTGGGTTTTGGGCTTTCACAGGCGCCTGCAGATCGAGGACTTTGAGGCCCGCATCGCACTGATGCCGCTGTTCCAGGCTGAAACGGACCGGAGGTAGCGCCCCTGGGGCCAAGGTTGGGAGGTCACTGGCCTGAGGGCCCCAGGCTACAGGGCCTGACCTGCATCCCTGAAGGTGGCCAGAATGCACATGGGGGCCGTCACCATGTGCCATCAGCTGTGTCCTCAGAGAGACGTGGAGGCTTAATGGAGACCCAAGGGGCAGTGAACCAGAAGGCAGGGTCAGAGGGAGGCTTGAAGGGGTGCTGCCAGGGGCCCTAGGCAAGGGCCCCCCAGGGCACTGAGCCCCACCTCCACCACTGGCCCCATCCCTGCAGAGTCCTGCACATGCTTCGGGAGAACCTGGAGGAGGAGGCCATCATCATGAAGGACGTGCCCGGCTGGAAGGTGGGTCCCTGGATGGGAGGGCAGGGGTGCCAGCCGCTGCAGAGACAGAGCCCAGGGTGGGGGACCTCTCACAGCCTTCTATAGAAAGCCCGGGACCAAGGGGGTGGTGGGTGGTGGGTGCCAGGTCCCAGTAGGGGAAGGCTGGAGTGCCTGGCCGTGCATAGTGGCCACTGGTCCTGGGGGATGGGTCCCAGCAGGCTGTATGTGGGTGGCTGTGCCCCAACCTATACCCCACTGTCCCCACAGGTCGGGGAGTCTGTGTTCAACACAACTCGCTGGGTGCCCCCCTTGATCGGGGAGTTGTATGGACTGCGCCCCCTGGAGGAGGCTGTCTATGTCAGCCATGGCTTCATGATGTACACATAGGCCCTGCGCCCTCTGTACACCTGGACCCCTTCCCCTTCCCACTGAGACAGAATAAATGTTCTGCAGACCTGGCCTGCCTGTTTTCCTGGGGACTAGGGGAGAGATGGGGGAGACGACTCAGCCAGGCACCACTGGCTCACATGCAGCATGGGGATGCAGCAGATGTGATACAGGGTGACCTCAAAACACACCCAGGGGCTGCCCCTGGCTCCACCGCCAGGCTCGTCTCCGCCTGGATATACCTGGACTCTTCCTGTCTCCTGTTGAAACCCTGCCTGTCAGCAACCCACTCACCCCGTCCAGGCTGGGGGCCCCTGGGTCAGGTTTGGGTCAGACTTTCACAGAGGTCTGGGGAATGAGGGGAGCTTTGACCTCCCGGATGCAAGTGATCCTCCCGCCCCAGCCTCCCGAGTCACTGGGATTATAGGCGTGAGCCCCCATACCCGGCATGGCCCCGCTAATTGCAAGCATGGCGAGGGTATTTGGCTGCGGAAGATCTCCTTGCTCCCTGAGAGGGAAGCCCAGAGACGCGGGGATAGCTGCAGAGAAACTAAGTCGGGGAAGTCAACCAAGTTTGGCCGGGTGGCTCTGCAATGGGATCCTGGCAGTTCCGTTCCTGGCACGAAAGGGTTAAGTCCGTCTGAGTCCACCGACCAATGGTGACACGCAGCGCCTTCACGGCGCCTCCTGATTGGGGGGCATATGGTGGGCGGGAAGGAGGAAAGAGGAGGCGCCCCCTTCCCCCAGGGATGCGCTTAAAAGGCAGTGGCGGTGGCGGCAGCGCCTGGCGCCCCAGCTCACCTCGGCCATGAGCAGCGCGGCCGGCCCAGACCCATCGGAGGCGCCCGAGGAGCGGCGTTTCCTCAGGTCAGCTGGGGAGAGGGACGCTGGAGACGGGCATGGCTCGCATGGGGCGAGGACCGGCCCGTAGGACCAGAGGCAGGGGCACAGCTGGGACGGAATGGGGTCCGGGGACTGGAGACAGGCACAGCCGGGATGGACGTTCAGCGGCAGATGCGTGACCGCGGTGGGGAGCTGGAGGCAGGGATGTGGCTAAGACGGCCGGGGAATCCGAGGCCCACCTGGCATCTTGCTGGAGATACTAAGCTGCGTTGCCGGGGAAACTGCCTCCGGGGACAGCCCCGCCCCTCATGAATGATTCATCAGCAGCGCTGGTCACTCCCCCACCAAACCCCAACTTGGCCCACCTCCACTCACCATCTCTCCCAGGGACCTTAGAGCGGCAGGCCCCACTTCCCCGTATGGGAAGAGCTGAGCTTAGCCCAAATGCTACCACCTCCCTTGTCCAGAGGAGGAAACTGAGGCCTGGGGAAGGCAGTCATGGCTAGAGCAGATATGGAATGCAGGGGCCGTTTGCAGGGACTGGTGAGTTTGGGATCTGGAACCGGTGCGGTGGCTGTGACTCCAACCTCAACCTCCTCAGCCTTTGTGACATGGGACCCCAGGCAAGGCCGTGGACCTCACTGTGAACCAGATCCGTCCAGTGGCTCCTGCCCACTGCCCACCTAGCAGGGCACGTAGCCCATCAGCCAACGTCCAGACTCAGCCTAGGGGAATGTGCTAGGAGCTGGAGCTGTGACCTCACCTGGTGCAGGGGGCCTCAGATGCTAAGTGAGGGGGGTGAGGGGGCTCTACGGGGTGAGTAGGAGCCAGAACACAGTGGGGACCTGCTGATGAGGCTGGAGACACAGACGGGCCTTGTAGGTATGGTGAGGAGTCTGAATGTTCCCAGAGCCCTCGGGAGCCATCAGCAGGTTTGGGACTCGGTAATGCAATCTGGTGTTCAAGTTTTCAAAGCCCCCGAGGCTCGTGTTGAGTTTTGGGGGCAGGAGGCCACTGTGGGTGGCCAGGTGAGCCCCCCTGGTGGTCAGGTGGGCAGAGGTATGAGGTGGAGAGAAGCGGGTAGGACTGAGAGCAGGGCAAGTGTGGCATGGGCACCCTGGCCTGAGGTTTCCCAGAGAGCACCCTCCTGGAAGCATTTGGGGAGTGGCAGGCCCAGTTCCCTTTGGACCCAGGCCACCTCAGGCCTTCTAGGTCTGACAGGTGAATCCGTGAGCCTTGAAGCTTCCCTTTTTGCTGCCCCCCAGTTGGGGGCTGAGATTGGGGAGAGCAAAAGGCACCATTGAGCTCCCTCCCCCAGAATCCCACAACAGCAGAAGGGACCTGCCCTGCCTGCCTCCCGCCTCCACCAGGCTCCATTCCCACGCAGCCCCCGCCTCACCCCACAGCTGCTGCTGCATCCCACCACCAGATTCCTAACCTGGATGACCCCCTGCCCACAGAGCCCCCATTGTCACTCTAATGACCAGTTAGGCAGGAAGAGAATGTTCCAAATGGCTGCCAGAGACCAAAGCTTTGGGACAGAAGAGGCATGAATCGCCCTCCCACCCTCCACTGCCTTCCCGTACCCTCCTGCGGGGGCAGCAGTCAGAGCTGTCACAGCCGGAGGTGGAGGAATGAGCCATGTTCCCAGCCTGCCAGAATACTCACCACGAATGCAAATGCACCTTCTCCTCTGTGCTTTCCTGGGAGCTGCACTGGCCTGCCAGGGGGGGCTCTGTCTGACTTCACCATGAGCTTTTCCCCACCCGTTCCTTCAATTTCCTCCTGTGTCAGTCACAGACAGGCTGGGGTTTGAATTTGGCTCTGTATACTGGGATGTCCCAGGGCATGTGACTTTCCTGCCCTGAGTCTCCTGCTCCCCATCTGTGTGGACCTCCAAAGTGTCCTCCTGACCATGTTCCTCAGCCTGGCATTTGAAGCCTCGCCTGCTGTGTCCCCTTGATCACTCTGCTTCGGCCTCCCTTCTGCCCCTTGGACATGCCAGGCCCCTCCCCATCCCAGGGCCTTGGCTTTTGCTGTTCCTGTCCCTGGATTACCTCCGAGGATGCAGCAGGCCTCCTCCAGGAAGCCCTCGCTGACTCCCATCAGATAGCAGTCCTCATTCTCCTGCACTCTGCCCACCCAGCCTTATCATGGTGCAAAATGGGCCAGAGGGCAGTCATCTCCCACCAAAGAACTAAAGGACAGAACCTCAGGATTCATTCCCCCAAACCTCCACCATCTGTAGGTCTGGCTCTACATCTTTGCTTATGTCCTGTGGCTCTGGAGGCACCAAGGGGGAAAGACCCAGTTTCCCGAGTTGCTTCCTGTGTGACCCTAGGCAAGCCACTAGGCTTCTCTGAGTCATTAGTGGTTTCTCCAACTTTTCTAGATCTGGCTCTTTTCATTATTATTTATGTTTGTGTTTTTTACTTTAGAGACAAGGTCTCGTTCTGTCGCCCAGGCTAGAGTGTAGTGGCGTGATCATAGCTTACTGCAGCCTCGACCTCCCAGATTCAAGTGATCCTACTGCCTCAGCCTCCCAGGGCACTGGGACTACAGGTGTGCACCACCACACCCAGCCTAGCCCCACCAATTGTGTAGTTCGCCCCAATATTCAGTTTTGCTCTGAGAGGTGGAGAAGGACCCCAGTCACTCAGCGAAGGGGATGGCAGAGCTTCATCTCGAACTAAGTGGCCCCATCTCTCTGGCCGCAAATCTTTTTTTTTTTTTTTTTTGAGCCAGAGTCTCACTGTATTGCTCCATCTGGAGAACAGGGGCGAAACTGGGCTTATTGCCTCCCGGGTTCAAGCGATTCTTCTGCTTCAGCTTCCCAAGTAGCTGGGACTACAGGCATGCCCTGCCATGCCCGGCTAATTTTTGTATGTTTAGTCGAGACAGGGTTTCACCATGTTGGCCAGGGTGGTCTTGAACCCCCAACCTCAAGTGATCCACCCGCTTCCTCCTCCCAAAGTGTGGGAATTACAGGTGTGAGCCACCCCGCCCGGCCTGGGGTGATTATTTGTGGCCACAAATAATCTAATAATGTCACTGCCCCTGAAAAGGGATCACCAAAGGGGTTCATAGCCCCAGGCCCCAAGGCCATCCCACTGAGTGTGCCATCAAACTCTGCAGCCTTCAAATCCCGTGGCCCCCAGGTGCCCCCAGTCCAGCCCTCCCCTTTCAGCATCCTGAAGCTTGTTCAGTGGCTCCCACTGCCTGAAATCAGCCCATCACCCCCATCGAAGTCCTTCAGGCTCCATTCTTCTTTCCTGATTCCTTCCGCCTTGGGGGTTGGGGACGTCTATGTCCGGTTCTGTGTGCCACGGTTTGGAGCAGTGGAACCAACGCGCGCCGCCAGGGCATCTTCTGCCACCAGAGGGCGCCCGAGCTTCGGGCTTCGGCTCCCACACCGCGGTCCGCCAGGCCTCCTTTCGACCCGCGTGTCGGCTGGGGAAACTGAGGGCATCCCCAGCTCCAGGCAGCAGATGGTATTCGCGGGTACGGTGGGAAGGTGGCTTCGGGACCGGGTTCAGAAGATTAGTGGAACATTTCTGGCTCCATCTGAGGCTCTGTCTCTCTGTGTCTCTGAGTGTCCCATCCCACTCTGTCCCCAGCACCGCGGAGGCAGCCGCCCTGGAGAGGGAGCTGCTGGAGGATTATCGCTTTGGGCGGCAGCAGCTCGTGGAGCTGTGCGGTCATGCTAGTGCCGTGGCTGTGACCAAGGTACCTGACTCCCCAACCCTGACCCCAACCAGATGGCCAACCTTCCCGAGGTGCATGCCTCCTGTGACCAGAGTGGTCCAGACCTTAAGAGCCCTCTCTTTGCTTCAGCCTACCCCAGCCCAATGGGTAAACTGAAGCCCAGCGAGGAGCATGCCTGCTGCAGGCCTGACAGGGAACTGAGACCACTGGTATCAGCAAAGGCCAGGGCAGAGACTATTTGCAGAGACCGTGCCGGACCCTGGAAGTGCAGACACCTCCTGCACATGTGACCCGCCTGCTTCTGCCACCTCCTGAGTCTTGGGTACCAGGGACATCCGCTCCTGTGGTCTGAGCACCCCCAAACAACCCCTGCAGGTGGGGAAACTGAAGCCCAGAGGTGGCGAGGGGCCTGCCCTGGGTCACGGGGTTGGAAGCAGAGCTGCAACCCAGGTGGGTCTTGTGTGGACCTCGAGGGGCCAGGAGGATGACACAAGGGTGACAGCAGTCATGATACTATGGAGTGCTTCACCATGCAGCCGGCTTGCTGGGCCTCAGGTTCCTCCTCTGCAACGGGGTAATAAATGGTACTGACCAGTCAGTCCCTAAACGCACACGCTTCAGGAAAGAGTCCCATACAGTTAGGGCTCTAGTGTGACTCCCCCCTTCCTCCCCTGCCCTCGGAGGCCCCCTTGCCTTTCTCCTCCTCCTCCTCCTGCCCCCTCCTCTCTCCCTCCTCCTCTCCCGTTTCCTTCCCTCCTCCTCCCCTCTGCCCCTTTCTCCCTCCTCTCCCTCCTCTCCCAGTGCCCCTCCTTCCCCTCCCCCTGCTCTCTCTCCTTCCCCCTCCTCTCCTCCTCCCCGTTCTCCCCCTCCTCCCTCCTCCTCCTATTTTTCTTATTGCCACTGTATACTTTTTTAAAACTCACTGTTTTTCTTGATGTGGACTTAAATGTTTGTATTTCCAAATGAAATAGATCCCGGGTGAGGTGCCCAAAGGAGAAGGAAAGTCAAAACCCCAGAAAGAAACCCAGGTAGTCACTGCTGGCCTGGCGCCCAGTGGCCACCCATCCCATTTTGCACTGAAAGCCCGTTGTCTGTCCCGAAGCCCCTCAGTCCCAGTCTTGGGTCTTGGGCTCTGGGCTGGCGTGGCTGGGGTCGCAGGCGTGTTCATGGCGGGTCAGGACCACGCTGAGCCCTTGGGGAGGAGACTTGAAAAAGCAATCATTTGCCGTGTGTGTGGTTGGAGCTTAAAGTACAACCGAGGCTCAAGAGATGCCCAATGTGCCTGTCAGGTGGTGTCACTGTCATCACATTTGATAAAGGCCAAACTGAGGCTGGGGGAGGAGAAGGGGCTGGGGCCACACATAGTCAGGGCAGGGCTGAGGTCGAAACGCCTGCATTAGAAACTCATACATGCCACAGAGACAGCCAGAGACATGGAGCCTCAGAGACGCAGAGACAAGGAGACTTGATGGGGAGAGACACTGAGTCTCAGAGATACAGAGAGAAAGACAGCCAGCCAGAGACAGCCGGAGAGAGACAGGCCCCAGGGCGTTGTGGGTGGGGTTGGGCTCCCCCACTCTGGGGCCTCCAGGAGGGGCTGAGGTCTGGAAACATGGCGGGGGCGGGCCAGCGGTGAGAAAGGTGGAAGAATGTCTGCAACTCCAGCGGAGAATAAACAAACCGCACTCCAGGAGACGGGCGGTGTCTGGGCGCACGTTTTTCCTGCAGACCTGGCAGAGCCCGAGACCGGGATTCTGCTCTCCGATGGGGAAACTGAGGCCCTAAGAGGCCCAGCCCCTCATCCAGAACGCCTCTCCTCCTGTGCTATCCCGTGGCCTCCAGGCCCAAGCCCCATCCGTTGCCCTACTCGGGGCCTCAGTTTCCCCTCTTGAGCACGGAGGAATCTGGCCCGTGCCTGTGCCTTTGCTGTGCCCCTACCAGGCGTTCCCGTTGCCCGCTCTCTCCCGGAGGCAGAGAACGGTGCTGGTTGTGTGCGGCCCGGAGCAGAATGGGGCGGTGGGGCTCGTCTGTGCCCGGCACCTGCGTGTGTTTGTAAGTAGCAAGGACCCCTTCAACATCCCGAAGTCCCCGCCCCTGCAGAAATCACCTCCTTGTTTTCATAGTGTCCCAGGGGGACATCGACGAAGGGCCAGGTTATAGAATATGCCCAGTGCTCGTCCCCTGCAGGGTCTGGTGCTAGTGGCCAGATCAGGGGAGGCTGGGAGGGCCCCCAGCCTTGAACCCCTCCTCTTCCCCCACCCCAGGAGTACGAACCCACCATCTTCTACCCCACGCGCTCGCTGGACCTGCTGCATCGGGACCTGACCACCCAGTGCGAGAAGATGGACATCCCCTTCCTCAGCTACCTGCCCACCGAGGTCAGGGCCGGGCGGCCAGCGAGGGGGACATGGTGGGCAGTGGCCCCCGGCCGCCCTCACCCTGCCTGCCCTCCCCAGGTGCAGCTCATTAACGAAGCCTACGGGCTGGTGGTGGACGCTGTGCTGGGCCCCGGCGTGGAGCCGCGTGAGGTCGGGGGCCCCTGCACCCGTGCGCTGGCCACGCTCAAGCTGCTGTCCATCCCCCTCGTGAGCCTGGACATCCCTTCAGGCATGCCGGATAGAGGGGGGCACATCGGGGCCTGGGGAGCTTGGGTGAAGGCCCTTGTGCCCCAGCTCCTGGTGGCCCTTGCCTGTCTGAACCTCAGTCTCCCCAACTGGGATGGAGCCACATTCGGCTGAGGCTGAGGGTGACGCCCATCCCTTGGATGGGGAAGATCAAGGCTGCCACCCCAGGTGACCCCAGGTCCCCTCCTTCCCTCACCCCAGTGCCCAACCCACATGCCCTCTGCCCACCCCTGGCCCAGTTGCCTGGGCAGACGTGAGCTCACTCGGCAAAGGCTGCACCCGCCCTGGCTGCCGCCCCACGCCTGTTGGAACCATTAGGCGACGGGCAGATGGAACAAACAGCCGCTGGCCAGCTGGACCCTCCATGGGGGTAGCTGGACTCCGGGGGATGTCCCCTGGCTTTTGGGATCCCAGGGACATCCCAGCAGGGTGCTGCAGAACAGGGGCACTAAGGGAGGAGATGTGCTGTCTGATCTGAGAGGGAGGCTGCAGGCTCAGCCTAGGACAGAGAGGGTGGTTAGGAACCTCTAGTCTGAGGATGGTGGCTAGGGTCAGAGAAGGATTAAAGTCTAAGGGAGGATCCAGTGGCTTCTGGTGAGTGGCCCCAGAATCAAGTCAGACATAGGAGAGAAGGCAAGGCTCCTAGACTGAAAGCGGAGGCTCATTCGAGAGTTGATGGAGGCCGGGCAGGGCTCATGCCTGTCATCCCAGCACTTTGGGAGGCTGAGGCAGGTGGGCCACCTGAGGTCAGGAGTTCCAGACCAACCTGGCCAACATAGTGTGAAACCCAGTCTCTACAAAATACAAAAATTTGCTGGGTGTAGTGGTGCATGCCTGCAGTCCCAGCTACTTGGGAGGCTGAGGCAGGAGAATTTCTTGAACCCAGGAGGCAGAGGTTGCAGTGAGCCGAGATCGCGCCACTGCACTTTAGCCTGGGCAACAGAGGGAGAGTGTGTCTTAAAAGCAAACAGGCTGGGCACGGTGGCTCACGCCTGTAATCCCAGCACTTTGGGAGGCCAAGGCGAGCGGATCACCTGAGATCAGAAGTTTGAGACCAGCCTAACCAACATGGAGAAACCCCGTCTCTACTAAAAATACAAAATTAGCTAAGCATGGTGGTGCACACCTGTAATCTCAGCTACTCGGGAGGCTGAGGCAGGACACCCACTTGAACCTGGGAGATGGAGGTTGCGGTGAGCCTCAAAACAAACAAACAGGCTGGGCGCGGTGGCTCACGCCTATATTCCCGGCACTTTGGGAGGCTGAGGTGGGTGGATCACCTGAAGTTAGGAGTCTGAGACCAGCCTGACCAATATGGTGAAACCCCATCTCTACTAAAATCATAAAAATTAGCCAGGCATGGCAGCGTGCCACTGTTGTCCCAGCTGCTCGGGAGGCTGAGAAAAGAATTCCTTGAACCCAGGATGTGGAGGTTGCAGTGAGCTGAGATCACGCCATTGCATTCCACCCTGGGTGACACAGCGAGACTCTGACACACACACACACACACACACACACACACACACACACCCCAAAAGGTAATGTCTAATCTGGGAGTGAGGGTAGGGACCATTGGTCAGATGGAGGAGTCTCTAGTCAAGTGGGGAAGATGGTTGAGGATGGCATGTCCTGTTAGAGGCAAGAACCTGGAGCAAGTCTGACAGCAGAGGCTTGCCTGAGGCTGGAGGCCAGTCTGTGGTCTGAGTAGAGGCTGGAGATCTAGTCATGGGGGAAAGCTGGGATCTGGCTGGGAGGTCTGGGAGGAAAGAGGCTTTAAGGTGGAGAGGCTCTAAGCTGATGGGGAGGGAGTGTGGGGACAGGTACCCGGTCAGAAGGCAGAGGCCTGGCTCTCGTCGGAAAGGGCAGCAAGTGGAAATGATGTCTGAAGACAGGCTGGGTCAGATGGAGGAGGGGGGTGGAGTAGGATGGGAGCAGAAGTAAACGTCGAGTGCAGAAGCTCTGGTCGGATTTGGAGGGAAACACCTCCAAGGACCGGGAGAGACTTGTCTGAGGGTGGAGGCAGAATTCTCTGGGGAGACACGTCTGACCAGGACCCACATGCCAGAGAGAAGAGGCTGGGTCTGATGGGGTAGGAGAAGCGGGTGTGTGCAGCAGGACTCTGGTCTGAGGGCAGAGGCTCAGCGTTGGAAGGGAGGGGAGGCAGGACAGGACGGACTGTAGGCTGAGGGCGGGCCACCCTCCCAAGGTCCTAATTCCCCCGGACCCTTCTCCCTCAGGCTGGGACGCAGAGACTGGCAGCGACTCAGAGGACGGGCTGAGGCCCGACGTGCTGGTGTCGCTCGCGGCGCCCAAGCGCTGCGCTGGCCGCTTCTCCGGGCGCCACCACTTCGTGGCCGGCAGGTTCGTGCCCGACGACGTGCTCCGAAAGTTCGCTCTGCGTCTGCCGGGATACACGGGCACCGACTGCGTCGCGGCCCTGTGACCGCCACCCGCGCCCACGCCGCTGGGACCCGTGCCAATAAACAGCGCTCCCACCACCAGCGCCTCGCCTCCGCCTCCTTTGTGCACCGGCGCGCCGCGGGGGTGGATACACTCGAGGAGGGACTTCCCACGGTCCCTGGGTGATCCAAGGCGGGAGGATGGACACGGGCCGTGGAGTGGGGCTTCCCGCTGGCCTCCTAGAAAACTCGAGCTAGGGCTGGGGGCGGTGGTTCCCGCCTGTAATCCCAGCACTTTGGAAGGCCGAGGCTGGAAGATCGCTTGAGGCCAGGAGCTTGATACCAGCCTGGGCAAGAGAGCGAGACCCCGACTCTGCAAATTAAAAAGAAGAAAACTCGAGCCAGAAGAATGGGGGGTAGATTAGGGGTGGGAGTTCCAGGCGGCTTGGGGTGGCCTAAAGCCGATAGAGTCGAAGTTAGATGCGAGGGAGCACTTGCAGCCGCCTAGAGCGTGAAAGTCCGAGCACCTTCAGGCTGGATTCCAAGTGGCACTTCCCGCAGGCAGCTTGGGATGCAGCTTGGAGGACGAAGAGTGGGCTCGGGAGGGACTTCCAGCTGGCCTCGGGAACCCAGGCCGGCCTGAGGGCGTAGGCACAGCCGGACGCACCGAGGGGGCGCCCCAGAGGGGTTGCTCGAGCGCCCGTCACCCAGGGCCAGGGGGCGTGGTCGGAGTGGGCGTGGCATGGGCGGGGTCTGCGGTCGCTTCCCGCCCCCAACCTCACTCCCAGCGCCCGCCAGACCTGCCGGAGTTGGACCCGAGCGCGCCGCGGAGCCCGGACCCTCCCTCGAACTCTCTGCCCCGGCCATGGCGTCGTTGCTGTCACTCCTGTGTGTCTGTGTAGCCGCCGCGCACCTGACGGGGGCACGAGGTGAGACGCCTCCAGCCCCCGCGCCCAGTCCCCGAGGCTCCCGAAGGCCTGTAGCCGGCCTTGCGTGCAGCCGCACCCAGGAAGAGAACCCAGGGACTCACGCACTTCCCCAGGGACTGGGTCCCCTTCACCAGTCGGATCCTCGGGACCACCTGGGGCGAGGAGGGGGCCTCATCCATTTTCTTCCTCGGCTAAGCCGGGAGTGTGGATAAGAACCTAGGGTTCCTCCCGGGCTTTGGACTCTGAATCACCGGCCAAGTCTCCTACTCTGGACTGAAGGGGTCGGAACTGGCCCCTCCCACCTAACTCCCTACACACCCACTTACTCCAACCGCTGGAGAAAGAAATAAATGCCTATCCCTGGAACACTGGATGGGGCGGGGGACGGGCCCACTTCTCAGCTTAGGAGACTGAGGCCCCGAGAAGGAAGGGGCTTATCTGACCTCATCACTCTGCAGGGAGTATCTTGGACAGCTCCTATCTTGGAGAAGCCAGTCTAGATTCCAAGGGCTTCCGATAGGGAGCTCGGAACTCTAGTACAGGAATGGAAGGTAGACTAAGGGAGGGACTTCCAGCGGGCCAAGTGGATGAGGGGGAGCCCAGCCTGAGGGCAGAGGCAGAGCTGGCTAAACTTGATTAAACTCATGGCAGCTGAACACAGAGGGACAGAGCCTCTGGCCTAGGGGAACTGGCTGGTACTCGGACTTCCCCAGCCCAGGGGTTGGGGCTAGGTCAGAGAGGGGGACTTGGCTTTGGGAGCCTGGTGGTTGTAGTGGGCAGTGCACTGCAGGGAGTGTGCAGCAGCCCCCGGGGGCTAGAGCTGGATTCTGGCCTTTCAGAGACTCAGTTTTCCCTCCTGTTACAATGGGGATGATCGGCCAGCGGGGTGGGGGGGGGTGCTTTCTCGCGCCTGTAATCCCAGAACTTTGAGAGGCTGAGGCGGGTGGATGACCTGAGTTCAGGAGTTCGAGACCAGCCTGGCCAACATGGTGAAACTCCGTCTCTACTAAAAATACAAAAATTAGCCGGGCGTGAAGGCGCGTGCCTGTAATCCCAGCTACCCCAGAGGCTGAGGCAGGAGAATCGCTTGAACCCGGCAGGCAGAAGCTGCAGTGAGCCGAGATGGTACCACTGCACTCCAGCCTGTGCGAGAGAGAGACTGTGTCTCAAAATAATAATAATAATAAAAATAAAAAAAGGGGGGGGAGGATGATCATGGCTGCACCGTGCCTTAAAGGAGGCTCCCAGCGGTCCCCACCAGCGTGCTTCCTTCTCCCCACTCCTCACCCCCAGACGCCACTTCCACCGAGGAGCCCACAGCGATTGCATTGGGCCTGGAAAGAACGTCCGTGCACCCCGGGCAGCCCTCACCGGCCCTGGAGGACTGGGAAGGTGAGTCAGCTGGCCTGGAGTCCCCTTTCTGCTGCGGGTTTGTTGCGGGGACTTGGGCTGCTGGGTCGTGTGAGGAGGGGGCGCACACTGGGCGAAGGGCCCGGGGCCGTCCTGGTCCCTGGACAAGACAGCCCCTAGAGATGATGCTCCGAGTTCAAGGTCTAAGTGAGGGGCCGGTCAGACAGCGGCAAGATCTCAGTGCGCAGGGATGGACCAGGTCAGGCCCTGGGCGGCAGAACTGGGGGCGTGGGGAGCCCAACCTTCCCTGCACCTGATTCAGGCCGCTGGCTCGGGTCGTGGGCATGCGCGGCTAGCCCATGCTCACGGGGGGAGGGGGTTGAGACCGCAGGTAAGGCCTTTGCACGCACGGATGGGGGCCTACAGGCCGCCACCTCGGTCCCAGCGCGTGCGGTGCCCGCAGAGGCCAGCGAGTGGACATCCTGGTTCAACGTGGACCACCCCGGAGGAGACGGCGACTTCGAAAGCCTAGCCGCCATCCGCTTCTACTACGGGCCAGCGCGCGTGTGCCCGCGACCGCTGGCGCTGGAAGCGCGCACCACGGACTGGGCCCTGCCCTCTGCCGTCGGCGAGCGCGTGCACTTGAACCCCACGCGGGGCTTCTGGTGCCTCAACCGCGAGCAACCGCGTGGCCGCCGCTGCTCCAACTACCATGTGCGCTTCCGATGCCCACTAGGTGAGGGCGGGGCTGGATGGTCGGAGGCGGGGCTTGGAACCGCCGATGCTGGCAACCGCCAGGGAGGGTAGTGGGTAGGGCTGGGAGGGGCAGGACCGTGTGGATGTGGGCGTGGCTAGGAAGAGCCTGCGGGACCCCTAGACATACGGCCATGTGAGGGGGCAGGGCCATGGAGGGACTTTTGAGGAGAGGTGCTGGGAACAGCTTGGGGCCCAGGTGCACCTCCAGGAGACCCGGCGGGTCAGGACCCATGTCCCACTCCCTGGAACGCATCTCCCTCCCGCTGCCCTCGTTTGCGCATCTGTGGCTTGTAAGAGCTCCGTTCTTGAGCCCAAATGTGTGCAGGATGCAGGGAGAAGAGCAGGACTGACCCCCAGGACCTTATGCGGGGGTGGAGAAGTGGGGCAGTACCTGAGCTATGTCTTCGACAGGTGCGCTTAGGGGAACATGGGTGGGGCAATGGCAGGTCTGCCCTCTGGAGTGTCCGCCCTAGGATGCACGTGTGTGAGGAGGTTAGGGAACAAGGACGCTTCAGTCCCAGGTTACCCGGGGGCGCGTTTCCTGGGGAGGGCGGCCGCCTGATCTCCCTCCCTACCTTCCGCAGAGGCCGCATGGGGCGCTTGGGGCCCGTGGGGTCCCTGTTCGGGGAGTTGTGGGCCAGGGCGTCGCTTGCGCCGTCGCCACTGCCCAAGCCCCGCTGGGGATGCGTGTCCCGGACGTCCTCTGGAGGCGCAGAAGTGCGTGCGGCCTCGGTGTCCAGGTAGGAAGGGGCGGGGTCTGGGGGTAGGGGCCCTGCACAGAGGAGAGGGGAGGTTAGGAACGGAGTCTGGTGGAGGGGGTGAAGTTAGAGGCGGGACCTGGATGTAGAGAGGCGGTGCCTCTTGTGAGCGACGCCTAGAGGGGACGAGCTAGTTAGGGGGCGGGGCTCTTAGGGGTGGGGCCTGGTACGGGGCGGAGCCTGGAGGATCCAAACTGTAGCCAGGGGGAGACCAGCCCTTCCTTCCCTCCTGGTCCCAAGGAGCACTGGTGACTATGCACATCTGGACAGGTGGACGCCAGGGGCCTCGTGTGCAGGCAGACATGGGCAGATCAAAAGGGGTGCTTCCCCTGTGTGCATGCCGGAGTGTACGGATGTCTCCGTGGGGGAACAGAAGTCAGTTCATGCACTCAGGGTGCACACATGCGTGGAGTTTGCAGCCCCCACCTCCGTCCCCCACGCCCACACAGACACGCACTCACAGCCTGGCAAACACGATGCCTAGGCCCTCCCAGGGCCAGACACCGAGCAAGCCAGGAGGAGACTGGAAATTCCGCTAGCTCCTGGGCTCCACAAACACGGTCTGGAGGCTGCTCCGGGGATCCCGTCACAGGGTGGGGGCACATGATAGCCAATGGGGCGTTGGGGTCCCCACCCCATCGCGCCTGGCTCTGCTCTCCCGGCGCCGGTTCCTTGAAGTTTCCAGTGGAATTTTCCATTTTATAGAGAAACCGCGAGATTGGGAAGGGGAGTAGTTGTTTTCAGCCCAAGATCCAGCCCCTCGCTGGGCCCCAAGCCCCTGTCGACATTTGCTGCTGGAAAGGGCAGTGCCGTGTATTTTGAGACTCACCTCTCCTGTCCCCTCCTTTAGGACTTCTTCTGTACGTCTCTGGAGCTCAGTTCATGCCCCCTGGCCCAGCCCTGACCACTCAGCCCATCTCCCCCTCATACTAGGGACCACTCCAAGCAGGGCCACGCTGAGGCCTCTGAGAGACACCTCATGGGGGGAGGGGGACTCCAGGTATGTTTGTTGAGTGGCTGAGTGGAAACCCCTCTTCAGGAGGGAGTGTGGAGGTGCCTTTGGTCTGCTGCCTCTCCATATCCCCCCAGGGTGCAGCCTTGACACCTGTGAGTGCCCAGACCATATCCTCCTGGGCTCAGTGGTCACTCCATCTGGACAACCGCTGCCAGGAGCCAGGGTCTCCCTGAGAGACCAGCCTGGCACCGTGGCCATCAGCGATGCTCAAGGAACCTTCCAGGTGCCTGGTGTCTGTGCTGACAGCCTCGCCAATGTCAGGGCCCAGATGGATGGCTTCTCTGCAGGTGTGGC